CTAGGACTGGGTCTGGGGGTTCCCGGAACTCGGCAGAAATTCCTACTTGGCGGGAGGGGTGGGGCAGGTACGGTGGAGTGGTGGGGGGTGGCCCAAGGGGGTGGGAGAGGGTCCGGCCCACGCTGCACCTGGGCTGGGACTGGTCCCGCCGGTGCAGGGTAGCAGGAAGCTCTCCACGCACTCACTGGACCTGGGCTAGGACTCAAAAATTTTTTTTCTTTTAAATGAGAATCATTACTACCAAATGCATCTCAGTGGTAGGGAGCGCTCATGAATGTGAGCATCAGAACTGTGAGAAGCCTCATACTGCAGTCACGTGCACGAGACTCCAACAGTGTCCTTACGGAGGCTCCTGTGCTGGCAGGTGGGAACGCATGCCCTGGGCGCGCCTGCAGAAGCATTATGCCTGTGGCAGTTCTGGCAAACTGATGGAATGCGTGCTATCTTTTTAAGTCTAAAGATGGGTTTTTTCTAATCTACAATTTCAGGTTTTGGGTTTAACTACAGTGTTAGCACTTAGTGATGAATAGTGAGTTTGGGGTTGCAGTGTGGACAGTTGTCCCTGAAAGGTTCGCCCTCTCTGACCTATGGGAACCTCAGGACCATCTGCAGGGACGCAAGCCCTTAGCTAAGCATATCTGTCTGAGCAGGGCTCTGTGAAGAGCCACCTTCAGGAGCTGGCAGGTGACTGCGAGGGGCTTTCTGAGGTGAAATGTCCAGAGTCTGGCAGTGAATCTAACACGTCCCTCTGGCATGAAGCCACATTGATCCTGGCCTTTTGCTTTCTTTTTATTAATGCATCGAATCTCATAGGCTGCAAACAGAATGGCACCAAGCTCGGAGATGTCATCCTTCCACCCTGGGCCAAAGGGGACCCTCGAGAATTCATCCGTGTCCACCGTGAGGTAACGGGAGCTCTCTGCTCAAAAGTAGCCTTACTCAGTCAGTGACCAAAATCCTACGAGGAGGGGATCATTGTCGCCCACTCCCCTAAGTGGCTAGTGCGCTCTGTGATTGGTTGGTATTTTAGTCCCTGCCGACAGCTAGCCAGGGTTTTGACTCTGTAGGCCAGCCCGTGACTGCCCTGTTTCGGAACTGCAGGCTCTAGAGTGTGACTACGTGAGCGCCCATCTGCACGAGTGGATTGACCTGATCTTTGGCTACAAGCAGCAGGGCCCAGCGGCAGTGGACGCTGTCAATGTCTTCCACCACCTTTTCTATGAGGGCCAAGTGGACATCTACAACATCAACGACCCTCTGAAGGAGACAGCGACCATTGGATTCATCAACAACTTCGGCCAGATTCCCAAGCAGGTGTGAAGCCTACCGTCAGTGTACTCCGTTTTGTTTTGTAGGTTCCACAGTGTTTCTGGTGGTAAATTGCCAAGCAGTATTAGGTGCAGAATAAGTTAATAAGGAATCATAAATCCTGTCCATCGAGTTAATAGGGTCCTAGAATGTTGCTTTCTCCTCCCTTTTGCTTGAGATGAACAGAAATGTTGTTTTGGTCACAGACAAACTGGGCATGCTTTTCTGTCTGTGTTTATACCCTTCGAGAATGAAGCAAACTACTATGCATGTAGAAATGAGTTCTGTTGTTCCAGGAGAGCTTATACAGACTTCAGGCAGGGAAAGACAGTCATAATGTTCTTGCTGGCCTCAGTCTCCCTGTTTCTCTCTCTCTCTCTCTCTCTCTCTCTCTCTCTCTCTCTCTCTCTCACACACACACACACACACACACACACACACGTGTGGGAAGTTTGGAGCAGAAGAGGTTAAGGCTGTTCAGGAGTCTCAGAACCAGCTGCTGCGGTTTGGCTGGGTGACCAGACAGGCAGCAGCTGCTTCACCACCACAGTAGCCCAAGGCCAAGAGCCACACCCCTGGATCGGGGGAGGGCTCCAGCCACCTGCTCCAGCTGCCCACCTGTGCCGAGCTCTGGCGACCACCTCTGCACTGTGGGCCTGGCCATTTTCTCTGTTCCTGCTGAAGTCACTCCTGGGTCACCTTTCTGTAGGTTGGCCAACTTTGAGGTTGGCACTTGGAGCACACGAGACAGTAGCATGTCTGTGTCCATGGATAAGCCAGGACAGCCAGTCCCCTACCAGGCACAGTGCGACCTGATCCCCCAGCAAGGGAGATGGGCTCACTCCTGACGCAAAGGTTTGTCTGTGAACCCCACTCACAGCCAGAGGTCTCACCTATACCTTTAGTTAAGCCTTTCCTTTTTCCTGCATATTACAAGGGCAGGAATGTGAGACACATATCTGAATGAACAAATCCGTCGGCACACTTGGGGCACCACAGGACTTCACACTACATGGAAGAGAAGAAGGTGGTAGCTGGGAGGAGGCATGGGTGCCTGTGTGTCTGTGGGACCCACCACTGGGCAGGAGCACAGAGAGTCCCAGAAAGCCTGAGTGCACAGGTGCTGGTCTGCACGTCTTTGCACACACTTCTGCACCCTGGCAAGTGCCCTGCCCGTGTCCTCTGAAAGCTCTTCAGTAAATGTTACTCATGCGCTTGCTTTGCAGTGTGTGTCTCATTTTTAACTCTGCACAAGCTGTAGACAGTGATGGAATACTGGCCCTGTACTTCTGCATGGAGCTAAAATAGGAAGAAAACATTTAAAGTTGTCTCTTTTCTCTGCAGAATGGGCATCTCATTCACAAAGGCTGCTGGTGCTGTATCTGTCCTAAGTCTCCCTTCATCAAAGATTTTTCACCTATTTTCCTTTGTTTTGTAATGGGTGCTACTCTAAAGCCTATTTCAAAAATCTGTAATATTTGAAAACAATCTTAAGTGTACGTTATTTTTTTTAACCCTACAGAAACACTGCCAAATATTTTTCTTGTCTTTTTCTTCCTCTGTATCATTGCCTTAAAAAGCTAAAAATGTTTACCCTGTCAGCAACTGAGCAGGGCTGAAAAGACCCAATATTGATGTTGATACACCCCCTTAAGAAAGACTGGGGGAGCCAGAAATTGTCCCTCTAAACTACCTTTGATGGTAAAGAGTGGCATTGGACTAGAGTCTTGATTACCTGTGAAGCCTCACAGAGAAAAGTTTTCAGTCAACTCTAGTTAGGGTAGATGAATTTTCTCTCAGAAAGTTGGTGTAGCTTATCATAGTCCTGTCCCTGCTGAGCAAGCTCGTAGTTCTCTGGCAATCCAAGCTCTATAAATTTATTTTTTCAAATGTAAGTGGAGGTGACAGAGTATCTGAGGTTTATTATGAAGCTACACGCATTATGCCTGCCATAGGTAACATTTGCCTTGTCCTGGTCACACAACCTAACGTGGGTTATCTTTTTTCATTTTTTTTTTATAAACTGTCATCTTCATGCCTCCCAGTTATTTAAGAAACCTCACCCACCAAAGCGAGTAAGGAGTCGACTCAACGGAGACAGTGCGGCAATCTCTGTCCCTCCCGGCTGCACGAATGACAAGATCTTTTTCCACCACCTAGACAACTTGCGGCCCTCTCTCACACCTGTGAAAGGTAAGCGTGTGGGAGACACATGTGACTCATGGTTTGAGGGGACAAGTGAGCAACCTGTTAAACAATGACAAATTTGCTCCTCAGCAGTAGTACAATTGGCATTTGTGTTTTTGCTTAATACTTGTTGGTGGGGTTTGTTTGTTTGTTTGTTTTTTCGTATTTTTTGCCACATCAGCTTTACCTATACCAGAAAAAAATCTGATTTTTATTTTTATTTACATAAAATTCTGCCTCTCAAAAAAGCAATAAAGGAATCATATTTTTAGTGTGCCAACCAAAACCATCTTTTGTCCCATGGTGAGTTATCCAAAAACATTTTTTTTCCAAGTGAAAAAAACATTTCGTGAAGTCTGTGCAATTTTCACTGCACAAAGTTCAAGACCAGAAGCATCAAAGTTTAGAAACCTCAAGGGGCAACTCTGGGCCATCTTGCCTCCCTGCAACTTCTGTGCCAGCCCTAGGCAGCACCAGGGACTGTCTGGTCCTGTCCCTGTCAGGGTATCATGGCTTCCCCAAGAAGTCTGGGCAGGCTCCAACAATGGGAGCTGAAGACACACAGTGCCTCTGAGTCTGGGGCCCTAGGCCCCTGTGTGTGGCCCGGGAGTGTCCCAAAGCAGTGGGGCCTGCAGAGCCCACAGAACATCTCTAGGCTGGGGGTGGGGGGCCCATGCAGCAGGTCTCCCAAGCACTGAAAGCCAGGCTCTGCAGCTGAGGCCGTGTGGCTCAGGTCGCCGTCAAGATCACCTTCCCACCCCTGTGGGTGCCGAGGGCAGTTTCTCTTCCCTGCCCTAGTGTAAGGATGTGTTTGTTTTGTAGAACTCAAAGAGCCAGTGGGACAGATAGTCTGTACAGACAAAGGCATCCTTGCAGTGGAGCAGAACAAGGTTCTTATCCCACCTGCCTGGAACAAGACTTTCGCCTGGGGCTATGCAGACCTAAGCTGCAGATTGGGAACCTATGAGTCTGACAAGGTTTGCATTGTTCTTTGCTTCCGTGTTCAATGTGTCCTCCTGGTCCAGATGTCCTGGGGTTGTCCTGTCAGTGTCTCTTCCCAGCCAGGAGGAAGTAGCACAGCACTGTTCTGGGTCAAGATCAGGGAGCTGGCTGAGGAGCCGTTTTCTGCAGAGCAAGTGAGCCCCTTCTGGGAGGCAAGAGTTCTATCATTCAGCCACCAATGCCACGCCAGCCCCTATAGACAGTTGGGAGTGGTTTCCCTCCAGCTTGCAGCATTTCCTCCAAGCAGTCGTGACTGTAAGGGGCTCATTTCTGCCAGCCAGTCCTACCTCCTTGGGCAGGTCACCATCAGGCACACCTGGCACTTTAATTCTCTAAACTTGCTGACAGAAAACATGTTCTCTTAGAGGTCTCTTAGAGGTCTTGCTGATAGAAAACATGTTCCCCTTGGGTCTCACAGGTCTTTTGTCCCACAGGCGGTGACCGTGTACGAATGCTTATCCGAGTGGGGCCAGATTCTGTGTGCCGTCTGCCCCAACCCCAAGCTGGTCATCACAGGTGGCACAAGCACAGCGGTGTGTGTGTGGGAGACGGGCACCTCCAAGGAGAAGGCCAAGAGCCTAGCGCTGAAGCAGGTGACGTGCAGGGTGGGCTCCCAAGAGGCAGGCGGTCCCCACTCTGTTTCCAAAATGTAGAACTCCAATCCTTGTACATCTACAAGGTAACTATTAGCCACATTTTGCACCTAAAAAACCAGTGTTGGTGGCATACACACTTGTAACCCCAACACTTGGGAAGCTGAAGCAGGATTGCTCAAGGCCAGCCTGGGCAACTTAATGAAACCCTATCTCAAAGTACAGTTTTAAAAGGCTGAGGTTAAAAAAATAATAATAATAATAAAATATAAAAAATAAATAAAAATAGGCTGAGGTTGCAGCTCTGTTGGGGAACACGGGCCTCACACATATGAGGCTCTTCGATCATTCTCCTGTATCACCAAAAAAGCAACCTCATATCTAAGAGAGCTCACCAGAGAGACCCTAAGCCACACGTGTGCAAAAGGCAGGAAAGGCAGGATTTACGTTTAGTTTTGGCTCCACAGCCAAATCCAGACAGAGCGGTAATGTCTTTGACATCTGTGAAGGAGCTGGACCCTTTCAGTGCTTGCCAACAACCACCTATCTGATAGCTGTTTTCAGGTGAACAGCGCAGCAGAGAAATAGGCAGAAGGAAGAAGGGAAAGGGGCTTTATTTTCTTTGAGGACACAGGAGAGAATGTGGGGGAGGAGAAGGAATTCTTTCTCTCTTGATAGGAACAAAGGTTGCTGAGGCATTTATGGCCTTTTGGCAGGAGTGGAGTTTGGAGGGGATGTTTAGATAGACCCAAGGGAGCTGACTGGGGGTCTTCCCTAAGGTAGTGGAAAGGGTGAAAGTAAATTATGTCCTGGGCTAAGTTGGAGTAGAAGGGGGAGGTGGTTTTGGGAAGATGGGCTTTTGTTTTAAGGGCATTGGCCATATTAGATGACCACCATAATGATTTTAGCAATTCATACTAGAGCCAGAACCTATCATTCCCATCTTTTGATTGTTATGAAAAGGGGTATGTGTCTCTTAAACTGCTTCCTGCTGAATGCGGGCATCGTCTTGGGGGTGAGAAGGGTTGACAGGACAATGGTTTATATCCGTGTAGAAGTTGTTGTCGGGTGTCTCACGTAGGACTAGAAGCTGTTTATTAGTGAAGGCTCGCATTGGAGACTGAAGAACCTGAGATGTCCCACGAGACTTGAGACTCTGACAAAGGTACCTCAATGTGGGCCATGGAACCCAAGCTCTGTTATTGTTCTTCAGCAGCAAGACCAAGCAGGTCAAGTATTGATGGATTTGGTTGTAGCGAGGTCTCCTGTAAGGGCAGGAAATTAGTGGATGGCTCACCTGCTGTCTGGTGGCTAGGACAGTCTACCTCTAGTACCCTCAAGCTTGTAGATGTCCCAGTGATGGCTGCAGGTTGGGGCAGTATCATGCCCAGTGTCCTTTGCCACACGGGAAACCATCCAGGAAGGACTTGGGTGGCAGAGTTGTTTAGGCTCAGCATTACTTTGTTAAGGTCCTGCTTTGATATGAGTCTCAAGTGTTGGAGCCAAAAGTTGGCTCTGTGTATAGTTAATTTTGGTCTCTATTATTGAAGACATGGAAAGTTAGATTAAATAAGTTTTCCTGTAGGGTTTGAGGGCCGAGATTTGTCTTTTTGGCTTGGCGTGAATGTCAGGAACAGATAGGGATATAAAATAGGAATTAATAACACTTGTTCGTTTGGGAGATTCTGAGTCTGCATTAGTATACTTACTTTGGAGCAATACATTTGATTATTACAATGTTGCTTGAGCATCAAGTATCTTGAAATATGAAGTATAATCAGAGAAGTGTTATTTCTTATTAACCATGGACATTTTAGCAGTTAAATCCTTGTAGAATGTTAATGGACAACAGTTACATACTTTTGTAGGGATCATTTGACATCAGTAGTCATAGATAGCAGTGTAGCGTAACAGTCATACAAAATCCCCATTTTGTTTTTGCATCTCTAAATATACATAGGACATATATCACATAAGTTTTAGTTAGAAAATTATCATTTGGCTGATGACCTCATGTTGGTTTGACAGGAACCTCTTATTATGAATACCTGAAGCATAGGAGAAAGGCAAATGTTTAAATCTGAAAGAAAATTTACATTGTAGGATACTGTATACTTGGAAAAAACTTTGTTTTAACCAATGACCAAATTATTAGGAGTGTCTTTTAAGGAGATTTTTGGGGTCTCTTTATTGATGAACAAAGGTTGACTACCCTTTATCCACCAATTAAGCATCCCTATTTTAATGATTTCTATTTAATTATACATTAATTTTGATATCAGACCAGCTGGAAATTCAGGAGAAAGCATGCTTCAAAGTTTATGTTTTGTTTTGTTTTTTTAAAGAAAAGGAACAGGTGCTTGCAGAATGACATAAAAACAAACAAGTACACACAGGACACACAGATATCTTTATAAGATGAGAGTGTACTCAGATATATTTCTGGCCAGGTTAAATTGTGATGACCTTTTTTAAGTTTGTAATTGTGAGAGACTAGTCAGAACTTTTGTAGGTCAATTAGCAGAGATCTCATAAGAACTTGGAAAAGGTAAAAACCTCTTATTTATGGTTAATATACATGTTTAGGTCTAATGCAATGTATCAGGTTTGAGTGGGAGCAAGCAAACTGAGCAGAGCGTAAGGATTGGGCACAGCACAACAGAGAGGCGCTGACATGTACACATCCCAGACTTGTAGGCTGGCATGAGGGAAACTGGGGTGTCTAATGTGGCTGTGCAACTGTAGAGGTAGGTAGCTGAAGGGCCTCAGTCAAGCCTGCTGCTTGGCTGGAAAGGACAGTGTGCTCGCTTGCTTGGTGGGCTGTTAACTTGTATCTAGCTTGATGGATAGCAGAGGGAGGGGCACACACTGTTGGGGGAAAAAGTGTTAAAGTGAAAAACCTGCAGGAAAAGACTGCTTATAAGGGGAGGGGGCAGTGAGGAATGCAAGGACTGTAGGGTCGGGGAGATAGCTCAGTAGATTAAGCACTTGCCTGGCAAGTGCAAGGGCCTGAGTTCAATCCCTGGTTCAAGTCAGTAACTTCTGAGGATAACCCACTAATATTATAGACTGCTAGACAGTGTTGGATTGTTTAGCTGAATTCAAACACCTTAGTATTTAGATGCCAATAGATTATCTACCTCTGACAGGACTAAAAAAAAGAGGGGGGATACAAAGGAAAGATCATTTTGTATTTATATATACAAAATAGGATAGATATACGGCTACTTTTGCTTAATTCAATGAGAAGAAAGGTATACTAATAGTGTTTGGACATGATATCCTGCCTGCTTCTTGTACTATGGATAACCACTAAGAAGATAACAATGTACAATGTATCGATTATCAAAACTGTCCTATTAATCAGCTTTGAAACTGTCTCATTCATATTTATTTCTCAATTAAATTTTAAAAATAAATTAATTAATTTTTTTTAAAAAAAGGAATGTGAACCAACTGGCACAGAGAAAGGCTATGGAGAGGGGATGAAGAAAGAGGTATCACTTTAGCCCTGCAAAGTTGAGATTTCAGAAGGTGAAGCGGGGTATAGCGGAGGCGAGGGCCAGTGGCAGCGGCTGCTGTGGCATGGGACGTGGATGGTATTTTGGCTGTTGGTTTTGTTAGTTGGGGTGTAGGGAATCTTATCTGACTGAGAGAGATTGTTAGGTGGGGGAGTTGTCCTTAGTTTCAGCAACTGTGAAAAGAGATGGGGGTGAGGAAGTAACAGTAGGGTGAGAAGCCATGAAAGGAGGAGGGGCTTCAAGGCTGGAAGCGTAGGAGACTGCAGCAGAGGAGACTGAGGAGTTGCAGCTGGGGGGCTAGGAGGAATGAAGATCAGAGCAGCATCTCCTAGAGGGTCCGAGGAGGCGGAGGGAGGGGCCCAGGTGGAACGGTTCGAACAGAGAGTATCTGGGCCCCTTTGTACTGTTGAGGGAAGAGAAGGAGGGAGGGACATGTCCTCAAAGATAGCAAAGCCTGGGTATAGGGGATTTTTTGTTATTTGCCATTGTCGTTACAAAAATTTTTTAAACTTTGGAGAATTACTAGATCAGAAGTTTTTTCTATAGGCCACTGAGTATCACCATCAAGTTTATATTGTGGCCAACCCATCTGACAGTAGAAGATAAATTGCTTTGGTTTTATGGCCTCCTGAAGGCCAAAGGAGCTGAACGATGGCAGGGGAAGGGTATACACCTGACGCAGAGTAAGGCAAAGCAAAGAGAGAAGAATTCCCCTGAGTGACCAAATTAAGGCTGAGCAGACTTCTAAGCCCAGGGAGTGGTCGTCACCAATTCTCAAAGCTAAGAAGTGCAATGGCAAAGTTCCCAAACCTTAGTCCCTCCAGTCATCCCCAGGGGCCAAGGGGGAATCACTGGGGTGGGGGGGTATGGGGTTTACCAGTGACAGTTAGACTTCCGGACACAGGGCCCCATGAATTTCCAAAGACAGCAGGGGAGTGTTCCAAGGGAAGGTTTCCCTAAGCAAACAGAACAAACCCCTGAACAAGAGAACCGGAGAGCTCAGCCTACCTATGAGATGTGAGGTGGGCCAGTGTTGCATGCAAGCTGCAACAGCAAATAGGCAGATCCCTGAGGAAAGAAGCTCAGCCAATATGCAGGGGAGTTCAAGACTGGGGAGTTTGGGCCCCCAGGAGCCTCACATGCTGCTTATATATCCGAGTCACAAGGCACCATATGATAGCTGTTTTCAGGTGAATGGCGCAGCAGAGAAACAGGCAGAAGGAAGAAAGGAAAGGGGCTTTATTTTCTTTGAGGACACAGGAGAGAATGTGGGGGAGGAGAAGGAATTCTTTCTCTCTTGATTGGAACAAAGGGTTGCTGAGGCATTTATGGCCTTTTGGCAGGAGTGGACTTTGGAGGGATGTTTAGATAGACCTGAGGGAACTGACTGGGGGTCTTCCCTGAGGTAGCGGAAAGGGTGAAAGTAAATTATGTCCTGGGCTAAGTTGGAGAAGAAGGGGGAGGTGGTCTTGGGAAGATGGGCTTTTGTTTTAAGGGCATTGGCCATATTAGGTGACCACCATAATGATTTTAGCAATTCATACTAGAGCCAGAACCTATCCCCTTCTTGGCACAGACTTGCCAGGGCCTATAAGGCAGCCCAGGAGAGAAGGACCCCTGTTGCCCGCTTCCTGTCCCTGGCTCAAGGGACCGCCTCCCCGCAGGGTACCTGAGGTCTCCTTGGGCATCTGGGGGTTCCTGGGGTCTCTTAGAGATCCTGTTGTTGCCGTCGACTAACTTGTTGCCTTTCTCTTTGACAGGCCTTGCTAGGCCACACAGACACTGTGACCTGTGCCACAGCATCCTTAGCCTACCATATAATCGTCAGTGGGTCCCGTGACCGAACCTGCATCATTTGGGACTTGAACAAATTGTCCTTCCTAACCCAGCTCCGAGGCCACCGAGCACCAGTTTCTGCTCTTTGTATCAATGAATTAACAGTAAGTAGTAAGCCACCTACTCGATTTATATTTAGGAGAACAAGTAGCTCTGAGCAAGGTAAATTTAATAAAATGATTTCTGAGTATTTTTCTGAGTTGATAGGCACTCATTCTCTGAGTACATGAGTTGTCTACCCAGCACATGGGTGTTAAAATTTAGAACCCAGCAGGGCCTTGTGCTTGCCAGGAAGCACTTATTCCACTGAGCCATCTCTCTGGCCCCTCCTTTTTTTTTTTTTTTTGTTTTTAATAGTGGGGTTTTTTAATTTGGTTTGTTTTGCTTTGCTTTTTGTGGTACTGAGAATTGAACTTGGGACCTTGCACTTACCAGGCAGGCACTGTGCTGCTGAGCTGTATCCCCAGCCCTTTTTGTTTTTTTCAATAGGGAACTTATTAAGGTGTTAAAATTTTGTTGAATTTTTTAGTGAAATGTTTCAAATTATTTATTGCACATACTTGGGTATTCAGACATGTAGGAAATTGTTAAAGAGCCCCAAGTTATGAACGTATCATCTCTTCTCCAAGTATGTCATGTAAGTAAATAAGTGAATCTGCCACTGGCCTTTAAACCACACATGCATGCATGTGTGCATGCACATACACACACACACACACACACACACACACACACACACACCCCTCCTGCCAAGCCCACCCCCCTGTTGGGACATGCGACCCCACTGCCTCTCACACTCAGCTCTCCTTCTGAAGGCCTACTGCGGTTGTCCTGGCTACTGGAAGATGCTAAGTGTGTGTTTTCAGTCAAGTGTCTGGTAGTTACTCTAAGAAAAAGGAAAGAGAAAGAAATGCAGGGTCTGGCTGACAAGAACACGACTTGGATGGCGGCCAGTGGGAGGTGTTCTAGGGTGAGGAGTCTCCTTGGTTTTTGGTATATTCGGAAGGCTCAGGTATCCCCGAGCCCTCTTGGAGTGGCCCTTAAATGAGCCCCTGCTGAGTGGGACGCTTCAGACCACACCCAGCAGCAGTGCTGCTCAGAGTCGAAGGCCCCATCCTGTCAGTGCGGGCTTGCTTGAGGTTCTTCTAAACAGTGAGTTTTATTTACACTTATTTGAGCCATTAGTTTATACCCACTGGAAAGCTGCTGCAAATACTTCAGAAACATTTAGGTTTTTTTCTTGTATTTATAATGTCTCAACACAAGAAAAGATTTCTGCCGCACCCACCCTCCCTTACTTCAGTTTGCACTGGGGGCTGGCACCTTGCACCATGTCCACCAACCAGGATTTGCCCTTTCCTTGCTCCTTTGAGGACCACCTCCACATTCCCTAGGCCAGCTGTGTCCCATTGTTCCAAGGCCAGCTGTTGCATCAGGACCACCAGGACACCCTGCGAGCAAGGATAAGCACTGGGTTATGGGCTTGGGGGCCCTGGAGAGCTGGCCTCAGATCTGGACTGTTGCAGTAGCAGGAGACTTAGGCTCTCACCCAGGTCTCATGCTGTAAAGTAGGGCTGTGGCCACTAGCCCCAGGAGATCACGGAGGTCACACAGAAGTGTCACCCCATGACAAGCACACACTTCCTTTTGCAGTGCAGCATCGTGTTCTCACCAGGTTGAGGAGGTCCTAGCCTGGTACAAGCAGGAGAGAGCTCATTCTCTTCTACTTCGGAACTCATGAGAACATGAGTTAGGAACTTAGGACGAAGTGACCTGTGTACCACATTTCTTTTCTCCCACCTACTGTGAATATGAATTTTAAAAGAAGGTACTATTGTGTTACCAAGATTTTGTCTTTTTATTTATTGAAGAAGGAGGCATATCTGGAATGAAAATCTGTCTTCCACACTCTGCTCTTTGTTATTAGACTCACTATGTAAGAGTTAGAGGAGGAAGATTCCTGCCTCTGGGTGGAAAGGACTTAGATCCTTCGTAGCTGGGAGGAGCAGGATTGCCTCCACCTCCTTTGCTGCCAGTGTGGAGTGAGGCTTGTCCACCCTTGCTGGGCCACAGCCTTGCCTCTGGTCTCCAACTGTGATCCTCTGGCCACAGCAGACACTCATTTTAGGCTACCTTTGTGGGAAGTATTTTCTAAGCCAGCAAGTGCTGAATTCCAGTTAAGCTCAGAAGTTACACAGCCTCTAGTCTGAGGGCTGAGAGCCAGGCCCAAGAGTCCATTCGTTCCTGAAACAAGCATTTACTGGGCAGAGAATGAGGAGAATGAGGGCTGTTCCTTTCCGTTCCCAGGGGGACATTGTGTCATGCGCTGGCACATACATCCACGTATGGAGTATTAACGGGAACCCCATCGTGAGCGTGAACACATTCACAGGTCGGAGCCAGCAGATTATGTGCTGTTGCGTGTCCGAGATGAATGAGTGGGACACACAGAATGTCATTGTGACGGGACACTCCGATGGCGTGGTTCGGGTAAGGGAGCTCAGAGCAAACCCTCTTCTAGTATTTGTTCTTCCAGTCACTATGCACTTAGAAAGCTGCAGTGTGAGGACACCAGAACAGGCTGTGATGTTCATCCAAGTCTCGCCTGATCCCCCCAAGTCTCAGCCACTGAGTTATAGACAGACCCCTGGGCAACTTGGCACAACAGGGCACTCACATGTGACCTCCAAGATGCGTGGGGAGTGCTGTCAATGTGTGTTGTATGTGTCCCAGGTTTTAGGTCTGTCAGGTGGCTTCACTGGGGGACGTGGAAAACGATGTCTCCTCTACTGAGATCAGAGCTCGAGACAGCACAGAACCCTCTTCCAGTCCCAGCTGGACCCTGCAGGATTCCACCAGCAGTCAGACATAGTTTATCTTTGTCCTGTCTAATGACTGTCAGGCCTCTGCAAGAAAGAGGATCAACAAAGTGTTTACCTGTGTAGTCTGCACAAATATTTGAGTTTTTCTCTCAGGAGAATTTTCCTCTTACCTGTTTCCTTTAATTGGGCTCTTGTTCAGAGGCGAGAGCAGCCACTCTCTGTGATCCATCCATGTTGAGGGCCAGTCAGGCTGTTGGCCTGCCTCCACTGTCCCCTGTGCCAAGGGCTTTCTCAAGAGTGGCAGTGATCCAGTCCCTGAGCTACAGAGCACTCTCTAAAATCCCCACAGCCTAAGGCCTTGCTGGGCCCGCTGGCTGTAGGCCTTCCTGAGCATCTGCAGTGTGCATGTGTGCTGGCGGTGCTGAGACGCTCTCACTGGAAGTGGGGCTCACTTGCATAGCAGAACCTGTTCAAGCTGACCTGACCACAGTCCTCGTCCCTGCACCCTGAATGGCCATGCCTGAGGCAGCCACTGCAGTCACATAGCCGTGAGAATTCCACTTACCGGAGTGCATCTTTTCACCCAGGAACATGTGGATGACTTCTTGCATCTGTTTCTTAACTATCTTTTATTTCCCTGCTTCCTTACGTGTAGTTTTGGAGGATGGAATTTTTGCAAGTTCCTGAAACACCAGCTCCTGAGCCTGTTGAAGTCGTAGAAATGCAGGAAGAATGTCCAGAAGCACAAATAGGTATTTAATACTGCTCAGCACTCGTTCTGTCAATACCCTCTTTCTTTTTGAGGAGTCACAATGGGTGAGCATATACCACATGGTGTGACCCAGGGCTGGGGCTGGGCACCATCACTGTGTGCTGTGCAGTCCCCTTGGGCACGTGTGTCAAGCTCCTCCCAGATCCTTCGGTCAGGTCAACTCATGGTGACTCCACAGCTCATCCTGCATATAGGCTCCCTGGAGTGCCAAACACATGGCCTCCGTTCTGCAAATACAAAGCAGACCTGGGGGCCACAGCATTGGAATGCCAGGCAGCTCCATGCCCTAGCACCACATGTGTCCTGCCCAGCCTCTGGCTGGTATCACATTGTCAACTGTCTACAGAGGCAGGGCAGAGTCCACTTTGAGTGTCTCTGCCTCTACCTGCTCATAGAGGACTCTAATTCAAGCAGAAGCTCCATTATCTATTATTTGTAAAGCCCTGGACATTTTTCCAGTCAAAGATACAGCTAGATGATTTCCATAAAAAATGATGAAAACAGTAACATAGGGCAGGGCCAAGGTATGCTCTTCTGTCAGGTCCAGAGCAGCTGCCCTCCTGTGTTCTGCCAGAAAAAAACCAGGCTTTAGGTATGACCTTCAGATTTTCTCTCTGTGATTGATTCTGTACACTGAGAACTCGGTATGACTTGAACAACGCAAGGATGTTCCTAAGGGAAAAGCCTTACTACCAGAAAGACACAAATCACGTCTCTGTGTAAGCTGAAAGCAGGAAAGATCTCCTGGGGAGTACATTTGGATCTTTCTGTTACTTTTTTTGGGGGGAGGGGGGTTTAGGCACCTTGTGCTTACTACTGAACTGTATCCCTGGCCCTCCTTTTATTACTTTTCACATGGTAAATTTCTACATAGGGAGCTGTATCTCCACCAGAGAGATATCTGGATGTTTGAGGATGGGGAAATTCTGCTCAGTTCAATAAGTGTCAGGGGATTTCCTATAAGTTGGCAGATACCCTATGAAGGGCTCTGCTGAGAAGCGGGTCGCTTTCCCTTCCTTGAGCAATGTGTAGCAGGGGAAGATGGATGAGTAGTGAGGTGGAAGGAGGTAGGATTCAGGTGAAGAGTGTCCATGTCTTAGAGCTCTACATTCTTGCTGTGGACAGTCTGGCATAGCGGTGAGCCCTGTGGGGTGGAGTAGACCCTGGACTTCATAGTGGAGGAAGGATTCAAGCATGGAGACTTCAGGTAGGACTTGAGTGGAAAGGCAGACATGCTAGGGACTCCCTGGGGATCAAAGCCATTGTCAGGCTGCTGTGGGGACCTGAGGGTTCATGGTCGGAAGCACCGGGGTGAAACACCAGTCCAGCCTGTCTCCTGAACTCTTACAGAGTACAAGGCTGGCAGATGACGTATCTGTCCTGCTAAGAAGTGTGTGTGCAGGGCCTAACACTGGCACACTCACTTTCTTTTTTGCAACATGGTCTCACTATGCCACCCAGACTGGCTTCGAAGCTATGCCTCTGCCTCCCAAGTGTTAGGGATATGGGTGAGCACCTCCACCCTTAGCTGCACTTGCTACTACTTTCTCTCCTATGTTATACCTGTGTCTCTCTCCAGTTATACCTGTTTGCTTCTCTACGAGACTAGATTGCATGACAGCACAGAATTGGTGTGAGCATATGTAAAATGACAGTGAAATATGGAAGAAAACCAAAACCCTAGTTTAGAGTTTGCATCAGTAACTCATTCTTATGTGTTACCGTTTAGCTAGATAGAATAGGGCTGGCCAGATAGCTCAGCAGGCCCGGGAGTTCCATCCCCTAGCCTGCTCTTCTGGCCCTGCCCCTAGGGCATGCTGAGACAGCAATTGGAGACTGGGTGTGGTGGTGTGTGCCTGTAATCCCAGTTCTTGGGAGGCTGTGAACAGGCAGATCACTACGAGTCCAATCCAGTAGTGAGACCCTGAACACCCTGTAGACCCTTCCCTAAAATACCAAAAAAAAAAAAAAAAGTAGGTAGCAACAGGCAAGACATTGCCTGTGGGCCTCTTCTCTTGAGTCTGACTCCTCTGTTTTAGAGAAAGCATGTGTGTTTTAGAGAAAACATAATAGCTCAGGGCAAGAATTTCAAGTAACTGAAAGACAATACTGCCGCAGAAGTCTAAGATCAGCAGAAGGAATTGGGTGAGATTTTGGAGAAATGGTTTTGGAGCTTTGCTTTGAAAGTTAGGCAGTGTCAGATCACAGATGCTGGGAGAGAAACCAAGGCCTTGGTAGGGCCAACGGAATGTGCAGAATCAGCACGAGGAGAAGCGGCTGTACAGAGAACACCTGAAGCCTCACCAAGAAGGCCAGGGAGAGTGTATGGAACTGAAGGCCAGGCTAAAGATTTTTCCCAAGGTATTCTGTGGATTCTTTTAGATAGGCAGCCCTTTTGCTGTCTTCAATCTTGCTAAAAATTCTGGCTTTTCTGTTTCTCTTTTTAAACTTAGCTGTAAACATTAAATCTCTCATGATTTATACCTGGCAGAAGGGAGCCCTGAGACCAGGTCAGGCGTGGCTAGGATGCATCTGCGTTTTCTCATTCTCCCAATGCTTCTCCCAGGGCAGGAACCCCAAGATGAAGACAGCAGTGACTCTGAAGCAGAGGAGCCAAGCCTCACCCAGGAGCCCAAGGACGTCCCCAGCCAGCCCAACAGCACCAGCCACAGGCCCCGGGCAGCATCCTGCCGAGCCACAGCCGCCTGGTGCACTGACAGCAGCTCAGACGACTCTCGGCGCTGGTCTGACCAGCTCAGCCTCGATGAGAAAGACGGCTTCATATTTGTGAACTATTCCGAAGGCCAGGCCAGATCCCGCCTGCAGGGGCCCCTCCACCACGCCCACCCCAACCCCACAGAAGCAAGGAGCTACTGCAGATTGAAACCTGGTAACTTGAACTCTGGCATCTTTTTCACTGCCTTTTGGTGGGTTGAGGGCTGGTGGACCTAGGGAGTGGCCCAGCTCCACTGGGCTCTGTCCTGCCCCAATATGTGCTGTATGACCTAGGCCACCACCAGAGGCAGGCCTCATGTGGTCCTTCCCATGTAGAGCAGATTTAATCTGTCCTAGAAAAGAGTCTCTTCAATATGCTGTATGTTGTTTAAAGAAATACCTCAACCCAAAAAGTGAATTCAATGACGAATGCTGAAATCATGGAAGCTTTTAAAAATAAGTGTCAGGTGTGGTGGTGCACACCTTTAATCTCAGCACTCAGAGGCTGAGGTAGGAAGATGGCTTCAAGTTCAAAGCCAACTTGGGCTACACTGTGAGTTCAAGGCCAGTTTGAACAACATAGTGAAACTCTTCTCAAAAAGAGAAAAAAAAAAAGATGTAGGTATCAGTTACAGAAAGATAAACTTGCATTAGCAGCCAACATTGCTGTGAGAGTCAGAGCCAGGTCTTCAAAATCTTGCCTTGCAGGTTTCCTTGCTCTGCCGTTCTTTCATTACGTGCTGTCATGCTGGCCCCTCAGCAGTGTCCAGCTAGCTGGCTGTCCCCCAAGCTTCTCCAGCTGTGTGCCAAGCACTCAGCGCCTGAGGCTCTGTCCCTTCCTCTGTTTACGGTGTCCTCTACCTCCTGCCCAGGGTACCGATGGGAGCGGCAGCTGGTGTTCCGGAGCAAGCTGACCATGCACACGGCCTTCGATCGCAAGGACAATGCGCATCCAGCCGAGGTCACCGCGCTGGGTGTGTCAAAGTAAGTAGCCAGACACACCAGCCTCCTCCCCTCTTAGCATTCAGGAAGCTGGGCCCATAGGGTTCAGCCCAGCCTTTGGAGAAAACAGATCTTAGTGTGTTTTCCAGAGTAGCTTGAAGATTCTTTGAAAATGTAAGAAACATGACGCTCTGTGGATTTTAATTCTCAACTCAAAAAAATCTGTCCCCTGTGTTCTTCAAAGACCCAGCCGGATTTGATCAGTGACCACTGACTGGAAGGTCCCTTTGATATTAATGCTGCCCTTATCTCCCATGGCCTTGCTCCCCAAGGGTATTGGTGACCCGCACCAGCCTCTGGCCCAGCTCCCACCCTTGTCTTACACAGGGACCACAGCAGGATCCTGGTTGGGGACAGTGAAGGCCGAGTCTTCAGCTGGTCCGTGAGTGACCAGCCAGGCCGTTCCGCAGCTGACCACTGGGTGAAGGATGAAGGCGGGGACAGCTGCTCAAACTGCACGGTGCGCTTCTCACTCACAGAACGACGACATCACTGCAGGAACTGCGGCCAACTTTTCTGCCAGAAGTAAGCAGGGCAGCCTGGGGGGTTCTGCGTGCTGCTGGCCTCAGGGCCCATTCCTTCTTTCCCATAACCACAGCTGTGGAATGTTCTGTCACAAAAGGCCCAGCCATCAGGAGTGCTTGCAGTGGGACCCCCCTCCTATGGGCGTAAGAGGCATCAGGTGTGGGCACAAACCCCCTTAGTCCTCTTTCCCCTCCTCACACCCTTCCCTGCTGTTGACTGTCCCTTGAGCATGCATCACCACCGCTGCCTTTACAGCACTGCTTTCTCTCCCCACTGGGTAGTGCTGCTATCTCCTTAGTCCTGCTCCCTTGGCTAACAGTAGTCTCCCTTCTGCCTTTATGGCATCTTTTTTAGAATCTACGTTGTAGAGGAAACCTGCAGTATTGTCTGAGTGATTTATTTCAATTAAGATGATGTCTTCTAATTCCATGCATTTTGGTGCAAATGACATAATTTCATTCTTTATGACTGAAATACATAATTTTCATATATAGTATTTCACATATATAACATATAGTATTTGCTTTATCCATTCATCTCTCTATGGTGGGCATCCAGGCTGGTCCCACCAACCAGGCTGTTGTGAATTGTGCCACAGTGGATGCAGGTATGCAGGTATCCCTGTCATGCACTGGCTTTATTCCTTCGGGTGTACGTAGGGGGTGGTAGGGCTCGATCAACTGCTAGCTCTGTTCTTAGTATATTGAGGAGCCTCCCTACTAAGCTGTAGTGGCCACATGGATTTACATTCCCTCCAGTAGTGCAGAGGGTTCCTTTCCCCTGCACCCTCAGCAGCACTGCCTGTTTCCTGTATTCACAATGATAGCTGTTCTGACGGAGGGATGGAATCGCGATGTTTCCCTAGTAGCTAAACATGTTGAACATTTTCCATGTACTTGCTGGCCATTTGCATTACTTCTTTTGGGAAGTGTCTGTTTACTTCATTTGTCTAGTTACTGCTTAGGCAGTGTGATTTTTTGGTGTCAGGTTTTTGTGAGGTCTGCATATTCTAGATATTAATCCTCTGTGGAAAGTGTCTCACAGGCATTTCCCCCTCACTCTTTAGGCTGTCTCTTCACTCTGTTGTTTGTACACTGTGCAGAAACTTTTGAATTTGTCATGGTCCCATTTGTTGATTTTTGCTGTTCCCTGTGCTGTTGAAGCCCAGTCAGGAGGACTGCTGGTGCCTCTGGAGTTGAGTGTTCCCTTTTTTCTTCTAGTAGTTTCAGTTTCAAGTCTTACACCAGGTGTTTGATCCATTTTGAATTGATTTTGTGCAGAGTAAGAGCCAGGGGTCAAGTTTTATCTTCTATGAATGGCTGTCCAGTTTTCCCAGCATCACTTGTAAAAAGGCTCTTTGCTCCAATGTGTATGTTTGGCCCCTTGGTCCAGTCAGCTGGCTGTAGTTATCTGTTGTCTATTCCCTTCTCTTGGTTTCTGTTGTCTATTCTCTTCTTTTGGTCTGTGTGTCTGTTGCACCACGACCATGCTTTTTAGTACTACAGCTTTGTAGTATAATTTGGAATTAGGTACTGTAATTTCCAGCCTTGCTCTTTTGCCCAGGATTGCTTTGGCCATTTGGGCCTCTCATATTTTCTTTTCCTTTTTTTATTAGTATACTTGCAGCACTGGCTAACTACAGTCACTGTGGGCAGTTGGTCCACATACAAGACACATCTGATTCTCCTTTATGTCTGTGCTGCTTCTCCTTTCCCCACTCCTAACACCGCTTGGTTCCTTTCCCATTGCAGACAACCTGTCTCCCTGTGTTTTCTTATGCATTTGGGGTTGTTCTCTCTAGTTCTGTGAAGAGCATCGTGAAGTCTCTGTGGAAATTGCATTGAGCCTGTGAATCACTTTTGGTAATGTGGCCTCTTTTCAGCAGTGTTAATTCTGTTCCTTCAGGAAGGGATGAGTGTCTGGTGTCTTCTCTCTGAGCTGTTTTCCTGATTTCTTTTTCTGCTAGTTCATTACAGGCATATAGAAAAGCTATTGATTTTCTTCTGTTGACTTTGTATCTTGCATCTCGAGCATACTCTTGAGCTTGACTGGACACTGCCGAATTACTTTCTCCACCAGTACTGTGGGTTTCCACGGCCTCTACAGGGTAAGAGTTTTCCAGATTCTTGTCATGCTTCGTAGGAGAGGCCTTTTACCAGGCTGCAGTCCGACAGCTAAGAAAATCTGCCATCTTCCACCACATGCTGCTCGGGGACACTCTCCTGTGCCTGCTCACACTGAAGTATCTCCTGGGCTTCCCTGGTTTCCCTTCAAGGTTTGCCTTTTTTCCTGCTTGTCCTTGCAGATTTCTTTCTGTATTGTGGTCTGTAGACCTTTTACATAACCCTTCACCAGACTGTGGCTTCTGTTTTACTTTTGTGGTTTTTTTCTGTTTTGAATGTGTGTGTATGTGTGTTCAAATTTCTCTGTCCTAAAACTGTAGTGAGAGTGATTTTGTCTTTAGAAGACTGGCTTCTCACACAGAGGACTTTATGCGCGTGGACTGTGTCTCGATGGGGTAGGGTCTGCCGTCACCCCATATAGGCCAGCTGTGCCGGCAACTTGATCTGTACCTTCTGCGCACTGGAACCCTGCTTGGCACGTGGAGCCTCACTTGGTGCGGTGGCAGCAGAGATGCCATGGGCATAGCCTGAGGGCTTGCGCTGCCCTGCTGGCTGGGAGATGCTTACATCAAGACCACACCATTTGCGAATGACGTAGTCATTTTCATAGGTGGTGGCTGAGGTTCCATGGGCAGCATTGGTTCAGCTGAGCCTGCCCGAGTGGGGCTGGGCTATTGTCTGGAAGTGGCCCATGCGAGTGCTGGCATCTTCTGGGGGCTTTGAGAGAGCTCGCTATGAACCTTTATGTGTGTGTCATCTGGTCCCAGACAAGGTCGGGTAGGACTGCTGTTGTGCGCAAGGTAGTAGAATATTTTTTTTTCTTAAAACTATTTATCCCAGACAGTCTGACTGAAGAGCAGGCAGCTAGGATGTCACGGCCTGCATTCCTGGGGGAAACTCTGGGGTATGCCGCTGTGCAACCCCATAATGGCTTGGCCAGGACCTCTTATCCATGCTGGATCTCATCTGCTCTTGGCAGTTGAATTTTCAAAACAGGTGATTCTTTAAGTGACCATTGCCACTGGCAGTTGGGTGGTGGCGGTCTTCCCACCCTGGTCCAACAGGGACCAATGATAACCAAGCAGACTAGGGGTGCACTGCTGCCCACACCCCGTGCCTACTGCTTCTGCTGCGAAACAGCTAGCCAGCACTCCCGAGTTTCCATTGCCCACTGTGCTTTGATGCTCTGCGCACTTCGTCTCGTGCAGTAAATATAGATCTTTGTTTCAGTCCTGTGAAATCCAGGCCTCCTGTGAACTAATGCCATATCCAGCATCCCACCCTGCTTACTCCAAAGACTAGAACTCAGAACACATTGTAAAAAAATCTTAAGTAGAGCTGACCTCAAGCATTTCTGTCAAGGTACACAGGAAGCATCCAGCCAGACAGGAACAACCAAGCTCCTTGATTTTAAGAAGCAATTATGGTGTTGTGTAGCTCAGTGGTGAGAACACTGGCCTAGTGTGCACTCAGCCTGGGGTCCTGTATCACTCACCAGCACCACATTCATTAAAAAAAAATGAGAGAAACAGAAAGGAAAAGTGATTGAGAAGTAGATCCATCCTGATGCTCTAAAAGCAGAGTCCTCTTCAGCACCAAGTGTCCTGTGAGGTGGGCAGCTCACAGGTGGCTGGGATGCTGGGCCTCGCCTAGCCCCATCAGAGAACGGAGCAAGGTGTGTGCTGCACAGCGAGGGCAGCGGCCATCTGGAGAGCACAGAAACCTTGAGCTCCAGAGACGTGGCCCAGCAGCACAGCTGGAAAAGCAGAGCACCCAGCCTCATAGCAGAGGCAAAGCGAATAGATCCCAGCGGCCACTCTCTGCAGGACCTCATGGCCCTCAATGCCAGGAGCTCTGTGATCAGCAGGAAGCTAAACCCTGCTGGCTTTGGAGAGCAGCCAACTTCATCTCAGCAGACCCTGGATGCTGCAGCCTAGAACCACCCCAAGGGTCCAGCTGCCTGAGCTGGGCTTCTCTAGGAGAGCAGAACCCTGCACACCCCCACCTCTGGGAACCCAGCCACAGCCCACAGCAGGCCCAGCAAGTGCCCACCTCACAGCAGACATAGTTAGATCCAGGGGTTCAGGGAACTGCTCCTGGAGACCACGGACATGTCATGTGTGCATCACTGTGCCAGGACTGAGAGAGACACACCCACAGTTCACACCACTCAATTCCTAGTGCTGCCACAGGTACTGCTCACAGCAAGGCAGGGAAGAGGCTCTGATGCTGCTACTCCCATGTGTGGGGCCACTGGGGTGACACTGAGTGCCTCCAGAGCTCTGCTGTCACCCTCCACAGGCAAAGCCTGAGAAGGGCAGCTGCACACTGCTGTGCAGAGCAACGTTATCCAGGTGTCCAATTCTAGCTGCAACCCATACCTGCTCACTCCTTGGCAGGCACCGCAACTGAAATAATCGGGTAGAGAGCCCCTGAGCTGTCACCCCACCTCCAGATGTGCACTGCGGGGAAGGCCCTGGGCCACACCCACAGCAGCACCACTCCTGCAGCCAGTGTACCCAGTAGATCTCCGCCATAAGTCCCCTCACACCTGTCTGCTCACAGTGCACCAGGCACAGTGCTGTGAGTCTTGTCGCTTTCTCTCCTTGGAAGCACCTGGGCCTTTGTCAATGTCTCATCACATGCACCAGGCCACTGACCACTGACAGAGCAGCAAATACCAAAGACGCTTCCAAGTGGCAGAGCCACAGTCAGCACTGCCTGGGGAGTCCCCCTCACCCCAGCCCTGCCCCCGTAAGAGTAGCTATACAGGTGCACTACACCTGTCTCAGCTGTGTGACCCAGAGACAGTGGGTCTAACAAGGTCATGTAAGGAATTCATACCCTATGACACATTTTCAGAAGAAAACTCCTTACTAATAAGGCCATCCTGCAAAAGTGTAGAGATCCCCATTCCATCAGACATGCAAAGCTCGAACATAAGGAAGCAACATGGCATGACACTAAAGAATATAACTGAAGTAACAGACTCTCCAGACAGACCAAAACAGCTGAAATGCCCAATGATGAATTAAAAAAAAAAAAGATTTATCAGTGAGATCCGAGAGAATCCAGGTAAACAGGTGAAATTAGAAAGAAAATGTAGGATATAGATGAGAAATTTAGTAGAGTATTTTGAGAAAGAACCAAATAAATGTTGAAAATGAATAGCTCATGAGCCAGCCAGATAGCTCAGCAGATTAAAGTGCCTGCAAGCAGGCACAGGGGCCAGAGATTCGATCCCCCAGCCTGCCATGCTGGCCCCACCCCGAGGCACACAGGCTGTGATTGAGACTGGGCTCAGTGGTGCACGCCTGTAATCCCAGCTCTTGGGAGGCTGTAAAAGGCAGATCACTACGAGTCTGATCTAGTAGTAAGACCCTGAACACACTGTAGACCCTTCCCTAAAATTAAAAAACAAGAAAAGAAAATGAACAGCTCAGTAAGTCGAATAAAAATTCAGGTAGAAGTCTCAACAGACTACCTCAAATGGAAAACAGAATGTCAGAGTTTAAACACTGTTCTTTCAATACCACACACTCATTAAAAACAAAGAATGAAGACAGCTTTCAAAATCTGTAAGACATCAGTAAGCAAACATCTGCATCATTGGAACAGTATGCTGGGAGGGGAAGAAGCAGAGGCTGACAGCACAGAAGACCTGTTCTGTGATAAGAGAGCCAAAACTTCCCTAAACTTGGAAAAGCCATGAACACCCCAGATAGACCTGACAGAAAAGACCCTCACTACAGCATATTATAGTCAAACTGTCAAATGTACAAGACTTTAAATCTCCAACAAAATACACCCAGTCATATTTGAGGGCAAACCCTATAGCCCAAGAGGACATGGAATCATGTCTTTCAAGTCCTGAAAGAAAGTAACTGCCAACCATTATTAGTAGAGTCAGAAATGAAGGAGAAATGACCTTGAAACATAAGCAAAAACCAAGAGAATTCATGACCGCTGGATAGCTGTACAGAAGGATGCTCACAGGAAGGAATCCTGTCTCTAAAAGTAAAGGACAAGTACTGTCATGGTAGCGGATAAGGGACAAGTCCCACTAGGAGAGCACACACACCACAGTCAAAAAGGTGAACGCATGGTCAACACAATAAACCATCAATCCACAAAGATGACTAAGAAAGGAAGAAATGAACAAGGAGTACACAGAGCAACCAGAAGAAAATCTACAAAATGGCAGATAACGATCTGTACCTTTTGATAATAACTCTGATTGTAAGTGGTCTTGTTTTTCCAATTAAAAGATACAGACTAAACAGATTAAAAAGTAAAACCCAACATGGTTCCTACTAGAAAAAAAATAATAACAACTCAGCAGTAAAGACAGCCTGAAAGTGAAACGATCAAAAGTTATATGCCAAGCAAGTGGAATCCTAAAGTAAGCATGAGTGCCTGCCTTTATATCTAACAAAATAGAATTTGAGGATAGCATAAAAAAAAAGACTTGCTTTGTAATGGGCAGGGATAACTCCAGCAAGGAGATGCAACTACTGTCATCCTAATGTCAGAGCATCCAACTTTATAAAACTAAACATTATTAGACCTCAGAAGAAAGGTGGGCTCTCCTTAGTAAGGTACCTCAGTAGATGCAGTAAGAACATTCCTTCAAGATACCCCTGAGCAAAGTATGGAGGAATCCCATCTGGACATAGTAAAGGTGTTAACGAGCAAGCCATAGCCAACACAGTGCTGAATGAAGGAAAACGATTTCCTCATTACGTTTAGCCACTCCTGTTACTCTTGTTTCATATTACTAGAATGTTTAGCCAGAACAATTATGCAAGAGAAAGAAAAGATACACAAATAAGAAAAAGGAAGGCACAATATCCCTGTTCACAGGTAACATGATTATTCACTTAGAAAAATGTAGATTGCACAAATAAACTACTTGAACTATAAATATTTCCAAGAAAATAACACAAAATCAACATACATAGCCAGTGAATTTGCCAAAGAAGAAATGATGAGAGTAGTTCTATTCATTAAAAACCACCACAACAACAATTAATGTAACCTTGAAATCAATATAGTTCAAGAAATAAAAGACTTCTAAGGTGAAAATTGCAAAACACTGAAGAAATAAATTGAAGAGGATATTAAAAGGTGGAATCATCTTTCATACGCATGGGTTTGGAGGGTTAATACTAAGAAAATGTCCGTACTACCCAAAGCAACTTATAGATTCAGTGTAATCCCCATTAAGATATCAGTAACATTCCTCACAGAACTAGAACAGCCAATCTGAAAATTCACCTGGGAGCACAAAGGACCACTGATGGACAGTTAGCAGGGTACAGGGGTGGGGCACAGACTTGGTATCATTAGTCCTCAGGGAAGTTCCAGTTAAAACTAAAATGAGATACCATCGCACCACAGTTAAAATGCCTAGCATTGAAAAAGCTAATTAACCATGCATACATGGAGAAAAAGGAACTTGTATACATTGTTAGTGCAAGTGTGAACTAGCACAGCCACTATGGAAGCTGGAGTGGCAACTCTTCAAAAACTGAAAATGGAGCCCCCTTATGTACCATCTGGCACTGCTGAGCAGAGACTGAAAGGAGATGAGTCAGGACAGAAGAGACACTGGCACAGCCATGAACTCAGGCAAGGGCCTGAGTTCAATCCCTGGTTCCACAAAAAAAAAAAAAAAACAGGTGTCATAAAAATATGTAAATAAATGACCCAAATAAATAAAATGGATAGTCTCCTGCTTTCCAAGAGAAGACAGTTCAGCTTGCAGGGAGGATGCTATTTAGGCAGGAGGAACCTAAACTCACACGGGGCTGTGACAGCTGGTGGCTTTCTCAGCAGGAAGATCTGGAATCTGTTTGTTTTTCTGGTTCTCTTCAGGGAAAGAAATAGCTTTGCTGGTGCATTGCTTTTCTCTCTCTGCTGAAACCAGTGGTGCAGCACCCATTGGGTCCTGGTCCTCCCCACAAACACACAGCAGTATAGCCTTTGGCCTCCTGGCATTGGCTGGTCTTTGGCATCGCTTTACAGGCTTCCCATTGGACAGTTAAGTCATGGAGTTTGCACATGGAGAGGAACTCTGACTGACTGGTTTTTCCTTTCTACTAGGTGCAGCCGATTTCAGTCTGAAATCAAACGCTTGAAAATCTCCTCTCCAGTGCGAGTTTGCCAGAACTGTTACTATAACCTGCAGCACGAGAGGAGCTTGGAGGATGGGCCTCGAAATTGCTGAGGCTGGACTGGCTGGCCAGAGACCAGGCCTGTAGACCCCTTCCTGATTCCCTGTCCCAGCGTGAAAGGCATGGAAAACAGCCTCCGTTTACACATCTCTTCACACCACATGTTTGAATCGTTGAACTCAAAGGGATCACTGGAGAAACGGGCGCAGAGTGCAGTGACGGGGCGGACGCTCTGGCAAACAGCTCGAGGAGGCGAGGTGGTGCCTAGCAGCAGCATTTTAGTTGTCCGGTTCTCCCTGGTACCATTAGCTGGCTCCAAGAACAAGCCCTCACTGATAACTGTCTTTTCCTGCATCTCATTTTTATAGAGCCCTCTATCCTAATTTGGAAAACCTACAAAAACAACAAAAAAAAAGGCTTTTAGAAAATGGTTGTAAATCTGACTTCTTTGCAAGTAACTGTGTATATTGTAAATAAGTATAAAGGCCTTTTTTTTCCTAAATAAGGACCTAACTGCCTGTAACCTGAGACTTCAAACTGAATCGCTAACTCAGTGAACTCTTTACGGTTTGTCTAACATCTCTCACCAACTAATTATAAATATCTTTTTTTAAATCCTCAAGGACATTATCTGTGGTCTTTTCTTTTCAAACCCAGCCCATGTGCCTAATGTCTTTTCTTTTAAGTTGCTCACTGTGTCCCCATTCACACTAGGCTAGTAACCAAAATAACACGGACCTTCTTTAGGAAACGGTGGGGAGAATTAAAGACGCGCCAGAAGTAGCCTGGAAATAGCGGGGCACCTTGCGCCTGGCTGTGCACACCACTTCAGTGTTGTTCCTCATACGCGGCCCCAGAGACACACATGCAGCTGCCCTGTGTGTGGAGCGGACCTTCCTGGTGTGGCGGGGGAGGTCATGTGACCAGTGGGAGGCACCCCGCCTCTGTAATGGAAATCTATTTGCATGTGACCCCAAACTAGCTTCTCTTGCATAGAACATAATAAGTATGTGTCTTTGGTGATACCAATGTTCTACTATAGTTTATTTTCAAAAAAGGGTTAAAAAAAAGTGTACAGAATTAACCTGTAAACCTTGTTGTAAAACTGGATCATGTCAGAACTGCTTAAAATTAACCTTTACCATTTAATGCCATCTACCTGAAGAACAGTGAGATTTATACTGTATCAATGTCTATTTTTTTGTTTTTTGCTATGAATATAATTACAGTATTTTAATATTTAGTTATTTAATTTGTTCTAGTTGGATATGAAACACACAAATCCAGGGGGATTGAAGCTCGTAGGGGGATAAGAGATTAGTTTACAGAAAAGGCTTTGGTGGTGGGATTTTTAAAAATGTGTGTTATGTACATAAATATAAATATATATATATAAAATCAAATAAAACAATTAATCTAGATTTTAACATTTTCAGATGCTTAATGATAATATTATAAACAATCCTAAAAGTCCTGGTGATTTGAAAAGCATAGATCATTAATGGCCCAAGGAAGGAAGGAAGGGCAAGCTCTCAGACCCTTGCAGGTGGTGGGGACAGTGGCTTTGGCTTCCCAGCGTTCATCGTTAGGCCCTGATGACAGGTACTCTTATGCACTGAAATGCACATATATGCACATGCGTTTAAAAATAGGCATTTGGTACAGTAGTGATCTTGTACCTGATGGGCTGAAACCAGCTTAGGAACAGACTCGTTCTTCCTGATAACTAGGTCTCCAAGAGAAAATAGAAAGGCTGCTTTAGTGCCTTATGCTTACTAAATTCAAATCTTTATTTACCTAGTTTTGAGCCTACAGTCTATTTATGAGTACATATCAGAACTGATGAAAACACTTCTATTTCTGAAAGTTCAAGCATACTTGTTAATAAAAGGAAAATTGGCATTGACACTGTCACTCAAAGAAGAGTTGTGTCGTTTTCCTTTCTGCCCTGTCCTAGCCCTCCCGCTGTCACAACTGATGCTGCCAGTCACCAGCCACAAAGACTGTGCCCGCTCCCAGTGGGCCTACCCTGTCGGCCTCTGGATGCATTGTAGCAGTGTTATTCTACACTTTTTAAGAGGCATCCTCCTGTGTCCATGAACCATGTTTCCCCTGTACCCAACAGCAGAGGTGTAAAGGACTGGAATGTAGGAGTGTGCGTGTGGTTACTTACAGGTTGCTCTGGCATGTCGTTGGAAGCTCGATGGGATGACCACTTTCAAACTTTCCAACACAACTTCCAGAACTAGAAGGTGGAAACCAAAACCCTCGCATATAGTATTTCCTCTGGCAGCTGGTGCTGTGGGCAACTGCCTCATGCGGTCGGGTTTCTTTTCCTTTTGCTTCTGATACAGAAATCACAGATTCACACCCAGGTACACTCGCACCCAGAGCTGATCTCGTCTGTGTTCTGTGTAAGTCTGTTCACCGCCACAGTCTCACGTGCACCCCACCTCTCTCCGCAAGAGGCCTCCCAGGGCTCCTGCCTGACCTCGGGGTCTGTCGTCCACCCCATCACCGTGCGCTCGCTCATGTACTCACTTGTGTGTGTATTGTGTGCAAGTGTAAGGTCATGCTTCCAAGGAAGAGAACAGTTGCCCGTAGCAGCCATCCATCTGGGTAATAGCAAACATTCTAGATAAGTTATTTTGCACTTTCTTATGTATAAAGTTGGTAGAAACTTATTTTTGCTTTGTATCATTTAAATACATTTTGTTTTGGTAAATGAACTGTATAAAATATTTATGCTGTTAAAACTGTTTCTAGAAAGTATTTTTAATTTCAGCAAGTTTGGTTACTTGTTGCATGACTATTAACACTGCTGACTTTTTGTGTCAGTGCGATGTATATTTTTTGTCCTGTTATTAACTTGTAAGCCCTAGTAATGGCCAATTGTTTGTACAGCAACAGAAGTAAACTGAAGATACTGGCTAAGACTGAATTGACTGTGGACTTTTGTACTATATTTTGGAATCCGATATGTGTTTTGGTGGTAATGTAAAAGGCCTGACAAATACCTCTCTAGTGTGCAGTCTGTGATATCTGAATGTTCCTTGTATATCTGTCTTTGATTCTGAAAGGTAGAGTAACACAATTACAATACATGACTAAATGCAATAGTCCAGATACTTAAGTATTTTTTTCATTCAAATAAATACCTAGTATTTACCAAAAGTAATAATAATAATAATTTGTTTTAAAGTCAGTTCTTAAGAGAAGGGGGAAAAACAAAAAAACTCTGGTAGTTCTGTAAAGTTCGTGTGGTATTTCTCCAGTGGTAAATGTTTCTATCATTGCTGCTGAAGATTACAGAAGCGCTGTGTGTGCGGGGGTCCATTGCGATTCTCCTTGGGTCCATGCTGCATGTTGAACTTTTCACTTCACTGAATCCCAGGGCTGATGACAGTGCGGGGGAAGCCAGGGACTCGAGGTGTGACTTTCAGATCTCATTTTTCCCTGGTTTGGGGCCTTTTTCCCTCAGTGTTAGTCCCCGTCATATTATGAAGTGAGCAGCAGAGTGCATACCTGAGTGCGTGCTGTGCCCCACCCTCACCTGGCCTCCCAGCAGCCACTATAAGCGGCTGCTCTTTGCAGTTGGTCCTTAGAGTTAGAATCCACAAATAGCCTTTCTGCAAAAGGAAGGTGTAGACAACACTATTTAGAAGACTTTACTTTTCCTCTTCCTGGAGATACTAAGTTCACTTTGAGCTTAACCATCAGAGTTCCAAATTGGAGTCTGTTGTGCTTATTACAAATCCCAGCTGGCCATGACGGTGCACACCTGTAATCCCAGCACTGGGGAGGCTGAGGCAGGAATAGCAAGGGTCCAGGGCCAGCCTGGGCTACACAGAGAGACCCTGCCTCGAAAAGAACAGAGATAACAGCTGCACTCTATAGAGAGCCCATCCAATCGGGGCTCATCAAATTCCAGAGGAGTTTATGTGTGTGATCCCAAGGAAAAGTTACTGGAATTCTGTAAGTGAATTCAGACCTACCACATCCAGTGCAATCCACTACAAGAATAAAGACAAAGACATAACCGTAATTTGGGGAGCTAGGTCCAGCAGGAACAATAGCTAACTGGAACAAAGGCCATGACGCAGAGCCCAACCTGGGTTTTATTTGTGAAAAGGGAAGTGGCTTGTGTTGAGTGCCAGTGAGAATGGAAGGAAACGATGTGAGGCCCGTGCCTGGGCTGGGTAGGAGGCACAGTGCCACCTCTGCAACATGCAGAGAGGTATGCTGAGAGAATGCCAGATCCCGGTAACAGTCACTAAGTTTAGAGGACTCTGCATAGCACAGTTTGAAAAAAATACCTTGTGTTTTTGGTCTATTGCCTCACGTTGATGTCCGGCCCCTCTGCCCTGAGCTGTCAGGCTCCTTCTAGAGGCTCAGTCCTAGCCGACAGTGCAGTGTCTCTTGGCCTACGTCAGGCTTAGTAGTAGGGAGCCACAGGTGAGCACCCATGACCTGTCGCATTGCCTCAATGGCTGCCCGTCAGCGCCTTCACTGGACCCATTTGCATTGCTCGAGGGGCTCAAGTGTCATCCTAGCAAGCTCTGTATGACACAGGAGTGGGGCAAGGGTGAGCCAAAATGGAGACAATAGCCTTTCAGGGACAGCCATCCAGCGATCCTCCACATTGCGCCTCAGTGCAGCTCCATTTCACTGACAGAAGATAAGGGACTGTCACGAACTTGTAATACTAATTTCTTGTTTTAAAAATGTTAATAGCTGGGCATGATGGCGCGCGTCTGTAATCCCCGCACTCTGAGGCAGGAGGATCGTTGCAAGTTCAAGACCATCGTGGGCTACAAAATGAGCTGAAGGCCTGCCTGAAGCGCACAGCGAGAGCCTTTCTCAAAAAGGAAAAAGTTTAATAAAGTTAATGGTGAAATGCCTTAGGCCACTCCCATGTCTCCACACGTTGCTGTCTGTCATTTTTGTGGCCTTGGGGAGCGCTGCTGGCAGAAATGGGCCCTGCAGGGTCCTCAAGCATGAAAAGCCTCAGGAAGGTCCTCCTCCAACTCTTGTTCCTTGTTTTCATCGGAAAGTCATCTCTGTGCCTCTCCATTGCCCACTTTGAGCAGCAGAGAGCTGGATGCAGCCAACTCCAGCTCCCTCCTAGGGAAAGCCCCCAGCACACCTGCACACTGCAGAGCTCTCCTTGGTCTGTTGGTCCTTTGAGTTTCGCTAAAGACGGCACCATGCTGTGCCAAAAACAGCACTGCTATGGCTGTTTTTTCCAACAGTAATAGTATTTGTGAAAATCCCATGCCAGCGAGTTCTGCTTCTTGTTTTCAGGGGTCCTATGCCCAAACCTGCCAGGAGCTGAGTATCGGTTGCTTCCTTCAACCTTTTAATATTAGGACTTGGCCCTTTTTTGTGGGGGGAGGCGCGGGTACATACCAGGGATTGAACTGAGGACCTTGCGCTTGTCAGGCAGGCACTTACGCTGCTGAGCTGTAACCCCAGCTGGTTTTTTTTTCTTTTGTACTTGGAATTAAACTCGAGACTTTTGCATTGAACTACATCCCCAGCCCTTTTTAAATTTGGAGACAGGGGCTTGTTAATATGCTTAGTCCAGACTCCTTAATTTGCAGTCCTCCTGCCTCAGCCTCCCAGAGTGCTGGGATTACACACAAGTACCTCCACACCTGGTCACCCTTAAAATTTTTTGAGGACCCCCCAATAGCTTTTCATTATATGGTTTATGACATTTAATGCTGAGATATAAATATGTACAGTAATTATTTAAAAATAATGGTGAAAGCTCTGGGCACTGTGTCACTGGCCTATGGTGAGGAGAGATAGGGTCACCTAGAGGAAAAGACCAGCCTGTGCCATATGGCAAAACCCTGTCTCAAAAAATAACGGTTAAAAAATATTAGAAATGGATATAAATTACATACTTCTATAAATTTGCTTTCCAGACAAATAATTAGTAAGGAAAATGGGATCACCAGACAGCATTGCAGATCTCTTTATGTCCAGAGTAAGGAAGGCAGGTGTACGTCCTACCTCCCTCTGCCCCCGTTGCTGAGAGTCTTTGTCTTAGTTGAAAGTAGTTGAAGTAAATCCAGTCTCACATTGGCAAGAGATTGGAAAAGGAGAAATATTTTAACAACCTTTTCAGATAATTTCATCTTAATAGTTCCATGAAGAAACTTATTACATATTGTTTAGGCTTCTTAAATATTGGTTACTGTTGAGAATCTGAAGCCACTGGGGATCTTTTACCCCCTGCTTGGTTTTGTGCTTCGTCTCTTCTGTGCCTCGGATTTTTAAGCCTTGTGCACTGATAACAGAATGAGGCCCAAGTCCCCTGATGGCCTAGCGAGCTATGGCCCCCTCTCACAGCATCCAGGGACCTGCACGGTATGGCCACCTTGTTACATAATGCAGAAAACCACACCGTCATATGTATGACATTTAAATATTGCCGGCAGTCTCAGCAAATTCTGAATCATATGGTGATGGATACATGTTTTCCAGAAATTTAATTTTTCCCATGGAGCCTTAGTCTGCTTGTTGCTTGTTTGGTGGAAGCTCTGATCCTCAGGAAAGCGGCTGGATATGCTCACAGCTCGGTCACACAAGAGCCCAGACAGTGATCATGCTTGGCATGCAGGGTATGCAAGGACCTCCCATATGTCACTGCTGAGAGTCAAGATTGAATGGAAGCAAGCATTCTGCTGCTTCTCTGAGGACACCAGAAGAGAAGCAGGAGCTCCTGGGAAAAAGGGGCCAGATCTCCCACAGGCGTGGCACCAGTGCCTTGATTCATACTTGGGGCCAGCAGGTTCGCCATGGTTACTCTGCATGGTAGAGAGGCAGATGAGGTTTCCTCCTCTGAGGAAAACCATCTTCATCTTGCAGAAGGCCTGGGAGGGTCTCTGGACCCCTCAGGGTCTAGACACTGGGAGCCACCCATTCCAGAAGAAGAGGCTTCAAATGCTACAGAACTCGTGAAATGCTAGGCACACAGTCTCCTGGTGACTGGATTCCCACATCACCAGGTGCAGGGCCAGCCCTCCCTGCCCGAGCACCTATTTATCACAGTTCCACTCCATAGTCAGTGACAGATACTTTGGGAGGGGTGCATGTCTCATAAGGACCTTTTAAAAATCACACAATTATTCCAGTCAGGACTCTACATATTTGATGGCACAAAAGAAACTGTTGACACCACTATTTTCATATTCTATACTCTTCAAAGCAGAAAGGGTAGCACACCAGTGAGTTTGAAGTCTGTTTGCATTTTGCCATGCATTGTGTGAGGTTGGGCAAATGACATAACCTCTCCTTGTCTCCTTGCACGGTGATGTTGTATTATGACACCTGCCCCCAAAGAATGTACAAGGATTGCCCAGGAACGGGTACAAGAGAGGTTGGGCAATGGTGTTCTTGGGGTCTCATGGTGTCAGTTTGTAAAGGCGAATGCGGAGGGTTGAGGCCCTGAAAACAACTCAAAGGCCAACCCTGAGCCAGGCAGGGAGCTCCTCTTCAGTCACGCACAGAAGCCCTGGTCCCCAGCTTCCTGATCCCAGGCTCAGCCCTTCCCTGTGTGGAATGCCCACCTGCAGAACCCAACTTCCCTTCAGTGAGGCCAGGGATAGTACACTGTGGATGTTGTTTCAGAGTCCTGCATTTGCAATCATGTCTTGCTTTATCAAGAAGATAAAGCACAGAGCCTTGGCCTTCAGCTGTCCACTTTCTGCCCAACAAGGGCAAAATGAAGTTTCAAGCTGTGTCCTGTGCAGAGGGCAAGGCTGATCAGGCACCACTTGTTCTGATCATCCCTGTAAGTACCACCAGAAGCTATAAATAAAGGTCACATCCTAAACATGTCAAGTGGCAGAGGTAAACCCCAAGGGGAGAGTGCATGCTTAGCATGTGCAAGCCCCAAACTCTAGCCCCACCACAAAAACCTTAA